TTGAGCTCCAATTAATTCCTTGTAATACTACGCAGCTGTGGTGCCTACATTAATTAACCTTTAATCGAGCAGTCACTGCACTAAGCCATGATCATACTAAGCAGACTCTATCTTATATGGTCATTGAGCTACAATCGAGATCTTTGCACCGCTACACGGCCGCGGAGATATTTAATTCAGACAGTACCCTTTCAAGCCAGAAAATCCATGTACCATGATGTCATTTTCGATCTCGCAATAATGTTGGCTCCGTCACTTCGTTGACGAGCCAATCAATTTCGATACTTAAAATACAACAGGGTGAAACCCGTGCTGTGAATTAGCAAAATCCGCTGCGTAGATCATATGAGGGTGAAATTCACTTTTGCATAATAAAAAACATAGTTAAACGCGGATTTCACCCTAACGTGATATCCTTCACCATTATAATTACCGAAATTTGCCGATGATCATTAAAAAATTTATCACGTGTTTCAAATCAGCTGTAATAGTGTTAAATTAAAAAAGATGAATTTATATTATTTACGATTATGAAACATTTATATCGTTGGATATGCACTGTGGTAGTGCAATAATGCTTATTATTGACAGATAATTGAATATCTCAAATTGTAAGGTTTGCAATGTGTATCAAAATAATCTAGGCTATAAATTTCCGACACCGTAATATTTTTAGACATTCAAGCACCAAGGATAATGCGCATCTCTAATTATGAACTACAGACGAATGTTCTTCACTATTATTTTCACCCATTGTTATAATAGGTTCTTGAGGTCGTTTCTTATAAATTAATAATCCACCAGCAATCAATATTCCAACTAAAATAATTACACCTACACCAATACCAATTCCAATATATAAAATATTCGTAATTCCCTGCTGGCCTTGACTTGCAGTTGGTGGCTTAGTTGAAGTAGTTGTTGGCGACATATCTATATTTGCAGAAGTAACCCAGGTGTAATTTCGTATGTCAAGAATATAAATGCTATTAATGAGTATCTCTGCCAATGTAGTCGAACCTGAAAATGTCAAAATTAAATAAATTTAATAAATTTAATAAAGTTAATAAATTTAATAAAGTTAATAAATTTAATAAATTTAATAAATTTAATAAATTTAATAAAGTTAATAAATTTAATAAAGTTAATAAATTTAATAAATTTAATAAATTTAATAAATTTAATAAATTTAATAAAGTTAATAAATTTAGTAACTACTACTGTGCTATGTATCAATAAAGCAATTACCAAATGCAATAATCATATAATTTTCATATAATGCAGCTGTATGAAATGCGAGTGATGGAGGCGCATTTGTTCCTGAAACACTTGGAATAGACCATACCCAGGTATTTGTATTTAATACCGCGATATCTGAAAATATATTAATGAGGCCGCCAGTACTATTTCTCGATCCGCCGCCATATAAAATTATATTTCCATCCTGGGCTATCAAAAAATAAATTATGTTTAGTAAAAAATATAAATCTATAATTTGTATTGATACTATTATGTTCAGCTTACTTAAAACAGTAGAATGTCCAACACGAGATAAGACAGTAGAGCCACTTGCAATCTAATAAGAACAAAAAAAATTAGGCTTAAAAATTAATAACAATAATAAATAATTATATACATTACTTTAGTAGACCAAGTGTAGGATTTTGTATCAAATATTCGAATCTACATTTGGTTTTAAGTAGTATTAAGTGAAAAGTTTTAAATATTAAAGAAAATTATTATTAATCAGATCATACCTGATTCATTTTAGTTAAGCTTGTATAAGATATAACTAACCCTTCTCCCCACCAATGTAAATAATAAGGCCATTTGATAATAATGTAGCAGTATAGTCACTATAATTAAGGGACAGGGTTTGAACTTGGGTTGACCAAGTCATAGTAGTGATATCAAGTATATTCATATCATTATACGGAATATATTTCGTACCGTTATAATTAAATCCCCAAAATAAAAATCTTTCCACTATTATTAATAACAGCTTGCATTGCATTACGTGTTGCAAAACTATAATTAAACTTATTAATACTTGGTGTTATCCATTGTGAAGTCTTAGAATTAAATATATATACTGATGATGTATTTACGAAATTCGCAGTATTTGGAATATATGTCCTTCCGCCAACTAAAAAAACAGTTGAATTATCAATAGGACTAAGACATGAACTACCAAAATTAATTCCTACTGGCATTCCAATATCTTTGTGCCATGGTGGTGTAGTTGTGTTAAATGAATTTGATAGGTCAAGATACCAAACTTCATTAGTTATATAAGTAGATTTAATTGTTCCGCCAAAGAAATAAAATTTAGTACCAACTAATGTACTAGATTGTTGGCGCCTAGTGTAAGGAATACTCTGACAAATAACAAAACAACATACTGAGCCAAATATTATAAAAAAAAGAACGTTGTAAAGAAAATTCATAATAAAATCTTAGGTTAATTCAGAATTAATTTATTTGGAAATTAAGTGGAAGTTTAAAGTCTCCTATTCTGTTTTAAGTCCCTAAATCAGAAAATGAAATAGGTCTATTTTCTTAATGATTATCATTATAGTGAATTTATAGGTCGTTTACTTCGTCACAAATGAATTTTCTAAATAGAAGAATGGCGCAACTTTGTACGTAAACTAATGATACAAGGTATTACAGTAGTAAAGTTGGTCAAAAGAGTATAAAATACAGTATTTACTGAATGCAGTAATAACATAAACTTGTACACTATAACAAACTTTAAATTATTGTTTTAAAGGATAATGATGTATTAAATAATGCTTATTATCAACAAATGATTGCATACCTCAAAATTGTCAGATTTTTACATTGTAAACTATAAATTTCTGACACCATGAAATGTTCAAAACAATATATATTTAAATACCAAGAATAATGCACGTACTTATGTATAAACTACAGATAAATGTGCTTCATGATTACTTTCATTCATAGGTGTTCTCAATATACAGTAAGTTCTTGAGATAGTCTTTTATAGATTAAAAATCCAGCGGTAATCAATATTCCAACTAAATAATCCCACCAACACCAATATCAACACAATATATAATATATCGTTATTAATTTGTTGAATAATAATTGTCTGTTGGCTCGGAGTTCTTTGACTTGCTGTAGGTGCTAATTTAGTAGAAGCAGTTGTTGGAAGTATATCTTGGTTTGCCACAATAAGGCCGGACCAACTTAATTCGGTGGTTTACATTACATTCCTCTCTCAAAAGAGGGGGGATGATAAAAAATTGAACTACATAGTAAATTTTAATAAAATTTTTTTAAATCGGAAATTTTCGGCCTGACCTTGCTCGCCTTTTATGTTCGTTCATTTTCTCTTCGGAATTTTTCGGATCCCAATCTTAATTCCGCCCGACATTATGCTCTCCGGCCAAAATCATATATATATATCCCCAAATTTTTTTTTACTAAGATAGAGAGAGGGGGGGTAACGTAAACCACCGAATTAAATTGGTCTGGCCTAACCCAGGTATAATTCGTATGTCAAGAATATAAATGCTGCCAGTGTTTATATCTGTTATTGTAGTGGCACCTGAAAATGTCAAAATTTAATAAATTTAATAGCTACTGCTGCACTATGTATCAATAAACTAATTACCAAATGCAATAATATAATGTGGCAAAATGATACATAAGTGGTGGAGGTGCATTTGTTTTAGAAACTTTGGAATGGACTATACACAGGTATTGGCATTTAATACTGCGATATCTGAAAATATATTATTGAGAAAACCGGCGCTACTGCTGTAACTTTCTGCGCCCAATATTTACATATTTTTAATCCGGGACCTTTATGTCAAGAAAATGATTTGCAGAATTTCAGCTCGGAACCAATAACAATTGCAGAATTTTGATGATCTTCGTGTAACGTAAACAAACGATAACCCTAACGCTAAACAAAAAACTGCAAATAACACAAAATTTTACTAATACAACCGGTTAAGTACTTCTAAGTACAAATGCGTAGCATGAAATTTTACATATAGCAAGGCTGTTTTATATTAAAATAATCAAAAAAAGAGGGGTATTATTATCGAAATTATGTTTTATATCGGATGTAGATCATTTTCTTGACATAAGGGAATCCTTTTAATCCTTTGTTATTATTTCCTTATATGTATTATTCACTATTCCAATTTTAGCACACGATAGACCGATTCCTGTTGCTTCCATATTTGGTATACCAGTATGATCAGAAATATGTAGGGATGGTTCCGTTCAACTTTTTAGTGCGCTATATTTTTTCCTATTTTAGAAAATGTTATGGTTATCGTGTTTTGCTTATTTAAGAGATAACGGTCATTTAAGGTCATAATGATTTAATTTGATCGTCATTATTAATGTAATCATTTGTGTTTGCCAGGTTTGTGGCGCCGATTGCCTGAGCTACGAATCAGATTTCAAAATCAGGGCATCTATATAATCTAATTCAGAGTTTCTACATTTTAGCAGCTCTGATTGGTTGTTGGTGTTTTATTCGTGGTTCATTGGGGTGCTCGATCTACTATGTAAATCAAACCTATATGTGATCACTTAATATTTTAAATAGTCAGTGATTTTTTTAGTGATCGGTTATTAAATATAGTTAAATATGATTTATATATAAAACTTTGTCTTACTTTTTTAGATGCACGGGTTGCATTTATTCTTTTGCCATAAAATTTTAATTACCAATTTGTTCGTTCTTACAATATTTACAAAGTTACGAGATTTATTTTTATATTATCTATGGTAAAAAAAAATTTTTCCAGTCTCTTTTATGTCAAATCGTTTCTTTGTTCACTTAAAAAAAATTTTAAGTAGCAGGTATTTTTTTTCGATGAAAATATAAATTTGGCTTCGTAACTTTGTTCTTTGGAACTTAACCTTGATTTGTACAAAATTTGGGTTCATCAGAACCGGTTTTAAGGGCTGTACATCTAAAATAATCTTTAAAATTTGTATTTCAAAGAACTATGGGTATTTACAAGTCATATAAGCACCAATTTCAACTAAAAAATGCCAATAAAATTCGTCTTGAAAAACATCGAAGGAATCTATTATTACAAGAACAATCTGCATCCCCTAATGAAGTATCTACCAATGAAGAAGCTACCAATGAAATATCTACCAATGAAGCAGTCACCAACAAAGTATCCACAGAATGTAATCGATTAACTTTAATGATACACAAATTACCTGAAAAAGATATATTACCAGCAACCAATCTTATCTCGATTATGAAATATCCGAAAGGTCCAAATCTGGAAAACATAATTTCACCATATTTACAAAGAAAAATGTATGATTACCTTATGCAAACTCTTTATAAACATTAAGCCAGTTATCAATCTTTAAAGGAATCAAATATGTCATTAGAAAAAAAAATAAAAAGCTTCATAAAAAGAATACTGCTCTTGTTAAACAAACTCAATCACTTGAAGCAAAAGCTCAACACCTCCAGGGCCAAAAATCAAATCATATCGCTAAAATCCGTTCTTTAGTCTGTCGCTCAAAACAAATCACTGATGAAGAATTTCGCGACAAAGTTAAATTGATTTTCAAACCAAATAATAAATCTTATTCTTCAAATACAATATGGCTTGCAACAAACATTTTACAAGTAGGCCAAGCATCATTACGCTCCACTGCTGAATGTATGCAATTAATTTATGAATTTTTGACAGGAGAACCTCCTCAAAATTTTTTATCAACATCTACTTTGTGTACTTAGCACCAAGACATTTCAGAGTTGCATTTTAGTAGACAAATTACTCAAGTAATGAATGCACCTGTATTTGGAATAATGATAGATGAATCAACACGAGGGCAAACCAAAAATGTAGTGCTTTGTTACCAATTCTGGAGTAATGAAAATCAGTTGCCTATTGCAATGGTCGCCTAATTACAGAATATTATAAAATGTAATGCTGAAGCATATCAGATATTGTAATTATGCATATCCAAAAAAATAGATTAGATATTAAGAAATGTAAACTTTGGGTTATGGACAATACCTCATATATGTCTGGAGATAAAAAAGGAGCTGTAGTCCTTTTTAATAAAAAAACTAATAGAAACTCTTTATGAATTGGCTGTGGTCTCACATTATTCAGATTATTATAAACCATTTTGAACAAGAAGCCTTTGGCTTACTCTCAAACACTACAGGATTTTCAAAAAAGCCGCATATTTATAATCTGCTTTACCTTGCATGAAAATTACATGACGGATATGATTCCAGTGATAAAGACAAACCAATGAATATTAATTCACAAATAATCAAGAACTTGTATAATTGTTTACTAGGATATCACTATAACCAATACCAATTGCCACTTAGATTGCATTGGGATTATGAGTTAAAAACAGCTAAGCAATACCTTAATTGACATTCAGCGCATATTGAATTTACTCAATAGTTTATTACTGAAATGGAAAAGCACAAAACACCAAAATTGTATCTAAATGATTGGTGCCTTTTTCGCTCATGGCTTCTTGATCCAAAGTTGAATATTCAAATTAAATGTTTAGTTAATTTTGCTGAACATTTTTATGAGCCAGTATTGCAATTTTTAGTTGGACATGATAAAATTCCAAGAATTTATCAAAATAATCAATTAAATATTTTGCCTTCTGGTCGGTGAGCACACGAAATGCCTGACAAAGTTTATGAGTGGAATAGCTTTCTTGAAGATCTTGTTAAAAATTTTGAAATGTTCTTTTCTGAAGAGTTATTAGAAGCATTAGATAATTTAACTAGTGAAGAATTCAGATATTTTTTTGATGATTTGGAAAATGGAATCGTCAAAGCTTTAAAACATTTTGAAAAATGGCTATTACCATAGCTTCATCTACCTTTAGTTGTTCGTCGTCTTGGAAGTAACAATGCCAGATCATTTGCTTCTAGTTTTTACCATGCAGTTTTAGAGAAACCTTGGATTATACCACCAAATGATTTAGAGTTACGATTTGCAAAAGAATTGAAAACTGATATAAGAAATGGAATAACTGATACCTTCAGACTACGTGAATTGCTATTGGAAAACAATAATTTTTTTATAGAATTTGAACAATTCTGTGCAGATGATAATTTACCAGTATATAATTTTCCTGAATTATATAATTTCATTAAAACTCGAATCTACTTTATAATTGTTCATCAACAACAAGTAGAAGGTTTATTTAACAAGCTAGATCTAAAAACACATTCAAACATAGCACTATTGGTTAAGTAGTCTAAACTTCAGTTATCCTTTAGTAAAATTGAAAAAGAAAATTTATTAGAAGGATTAAAGGAGATAAGGGTAAATCGAAAGAAAACTCCTTTTTAAGAAACTCAAATATCGCTATTTGGACCCAATACTGTCGCAAATCTTTTAAATAATTTACTATATTAATTTAATCATTAAAATAACTTTTAAATATATAATTTGTAATTTATCACAATAATTATTAATATATTTTATTACTTTAATAAATCACAATAATTCATACGTATCAGTATCGATATATTTTATTATTTTAATAAATCAATAATTTATATGTAGTATTATACAGTATTGGCGATCAACTAGATTATACAAAATCTTTGATATTGAATTTTTATATGATACTATATATAGTTTTGATTTATATAGTAAATTGAGCACCCCAGTGGTTCATGCGTATTAACTATTTTTGTTTATTGATTGATTGTCTAAAATAATGATAATAACATTGATCATTCTCAGGTACGCTATTTTTGTCTAAAAAATGGTTAATTTATTAATTTTTTACTATGCTTACCAATTCAAGCTAATCAGTATCAGTCATGGAGACAAGATCTTAAGTAATGCAAGAATTGACAAAAACAATAAAATGTCACATTAATCTCAAGTTTCACCTAAAAAAAATCGCACAAACTAAAAAAAATTTCTACAAAATTTTGGTATGACATAATTAAAAATTACCTTTGACTCATTATTACTAGATTACAATATTTTAAATCATTGTAAATACTGTAATATATGGGCACCATCAACAATCTGGAATTATATTGTGATGACTTATTATAAAATAAAATCTATATAATTTGAACAAGAAGTTGTGTGTTTTAACATTTTTGATCTGTTATTATAAGTACGATATTTAGGTAATTTGATAAATTGGGTTATTGCTATGCAATTATGACATAATTACAGAATTATTGATTTGATAAATTGGGAACTGTCCTAGTGTTACCAACATAAACAATTTTGCACAACCAATCAAAATTTAGCAATCATCCAAAATTTTTAAAATTTTCTAAACTTCTAGCAAAGGTTTCTCAATAACTACTTGCCCAAATTCGGTAAAAATTTTTTATTTTAATACTGTACTTTTGCAGAATCAAAATAAAAAAATTTATTGAATTTGGTTTAGTGATTATCAAGATAAAAAAAATTTAGAATATCAAACTAAAACCAGGCAAATTTTTCTTTTTCTAAACTTCAAGCAAAGATTTCTCAACAACCATCTACCCAAATTCAATGAAAATATTTTTATTTTAATTTTGAGAGTTTATAGAATTAAAATAAAAAACAAATTTTACCAAATTTGTATAGTAGTTGTCAAGAAACATTTATTAAAAGTTAAAAAACAAATAACCAAAGTTTCTTTTTTATGAATACCTAAAATTTGAACGAAGACTAAAATTTTTTATTTTGATTCTATAATCTCATAGAATTAAAATAAAAAAAAAATTGATTGAATTTGGTCAGGTAGGGGCTAAGCAATCTCCGTTCAAATTTTAGTATTCATAAAAAAGAAACTGCGGCTAATTGTTTTTTAACTTTTAAAGAATGTTCCTCAACAACTACCTATACATATTCAGTAAATTTTTTTTTATTTTAGTTCTATAAACTCTTAAAATTAAAATAAAAAAAATTTCATTGAATTTGGATAGTTGTTGAGAAATCTTTGCTTGAAGTTTAGAAAAGAAAAATTTCCTGATTTAGTTCTTTTTTTGATATTCTAATCTATCTTCTATTCTATATCATATTAAAATACTAATGTCCATCATACTATTGACTAATTGGAGAATGCCAATACATATCATTTGTTTGTTAACCATAGTCAGGTATGAATTTGGCAAATATTTATTTACTTTCTAAATTTGTTATTAGTAGAGCCACAGAAATCCAAGATTACTACTAGAAAGTTAGGTGAGCTTGCTGAAAAGTCAGCATGGTACTTTTAAAAGTGTAGTCTCCTCAGGAGTTCAAGAAGTCAATCAGGTATTTTTGCAAAAAATATCTGAAAATATTTTTCCTTCTTCAAAACAAAGCTTTTTAGAAAAGATGCAATCCTTTACAAATTTTTATTGCGAGACCAAAATTAAATTCATAACTATCAAAGTGTCTTTGTCCAGTTGATATTTCTGACCATTCACTGACAATCAATTCACCAAGATTAATTTACTAACCTTAAACATAATTCTGGTATAATTGTCAGTGAATTAAATATCAGTATATTGAGTGTGTTGGTAAATTGATTGTCAGTAAATTGAGTGTTAGTGAAATGAACATGGTGAATTGAATGTCTGTAAAATGCTGTATCTATGAAATAAGATTTTTTTTTTTACAGTAAATAATGATACAAATTAATGCTCTATTGAACATTAATTCTAACTAATCTAATTACTTTTTTGTCATCTGTGTAGTTAGTAAGTTCTTTATATATGACATTTTTTTTACAGTAAATAATGATACAAATCAATAACCTATTGAACATTAATTCTAACTAATCTGCTTAATTTTTTGTCACTTCTATAGCAAGTAAGTTTTTTACATATGTATTTTTTTTTTTTTTTACAGTAAATAATAGTATATATGACTTTTTTTTTATAGTAAATAATGATACAAATCAATGCCCTATCGAATGTTAATTTTAACTAATCCACTTACTTTTTTGTCACTTCTATAGCGAGTAAGTTCTTTGTATAGCTTTTTTTTTTACAATAAATAATGGTACAAATCAATGCCCTATCGAACGTTAATTCTAACTAATCTTCTTACTTTTTGTCATCTATATAGTTTATAAATTCTTTATATACAACTTTTTTTTTACAGTAAATAATAATACAAATCAATACCCTATCAAACATTAGTTCTTCTAATCTACTTACTTTTTTGTCACCTATATAGTTGGTAAGTTCTTACATACGATATTTTTTTTTATAGTAAATAATGGTACAAATCAATAACCTATTGAACATTAATTTTAACTAATCTATTTACTTTTTTGTCACTTCTACAGCAAGTAAGTTCTTTATATATGACCTTTTTTTTACAGTAAATAATGGTACAAATCAATGTTCTATCAAATATTAATTCTAACTAATCTACTTACTTTTTTGTCACCTATATAGTTGGTAAGTTCTTATATGCAATATTTTTTTACAGTAAATCATGATATAATCAATGACCTATCGAACGTTAATTCTAACTAATCTACTTACTTTTTTGTCACTTCTACAGTGAGTAAGTTTTTACATATGACCTTTTTTTCTTTATAGTAAATAATAGTACAAATCAATACCCTATTGAACATTAATTCTAACTAATTCACTTACTTTTTTGTTACCTGTATAGTTAGTAAGTTTTTTATATACTATATTTTTTTTACAATAAATAATGATACAAATCAATGAACTTATCAAATGTTAATTCTAACTAATCCACTTACTTTTTTGTCACTTCCACAGTGAATAAGTTCTTTACATACATTTTTTTTTATTACAGTAAATAATGGTACTAAACAATGCTCTACTGAATATTAATTCTAACTAATCTACTTACCTTTTGTCATCAATAAAGAAGGTAAATTCTTTACATATGATATTTTTTTTTACAGTAAATAATGATTAAAATCAATGCTCTATCGAGCATTAATTCTAACTAATCCACTTACTTTTTTGTCATCTATATAGTTTGTAAATTCTTTATATATGACATTCTTTTCAGTAAATAATGATACAAATCAATAACCTATTGAACATTAATTCTAACAGGTTTGGTTAAAATCTTGAAAATGTAATTTCAAAGAACGAAATCTCAAAAAAAATTGACTAGAATTAAGCTAACACTAATCTAATTCAGGCTAACTTTTCAGAATTCTGATCTTTTAGGATTTGTTTGTTAGAATTTTGTCTGGCTTCTAATTCTAACTAATCCACTTTTTGTCATCTATATAGAAGGTAAGTTCTTTACATATAACAATTTTTTTTTACAGTAAATAATATTACAAATCAATGCTCTATCGAACATTAGTTTTAACTAATCCACTTACTTTTTTGTCACCTATATAGTTGGTAAGTTCTTATATATGACAATTTTTTTTTTTAGTACTCTGCAAAATCAAATCAAAATTTGAATTTGTATCAAATATTTGATCAAATTTTTTAAAAATTTGATCAAATATTTGATACAAATTCAAATTTTGATTTGATTTTGCGGAGTACTATTTTTTTTACAGTAAATAATAATATAAAGCGAATGCTAATTCTACCAATCCACTTACTTTTTTGTCACCTATATAGGATATAAGTACTTTATATTTGACTTTTTTTTGGTCTGCTTTATTTCACTAATACTTATTTTGTTGATATAGCATTTCACCAGCAATCATTCTACCAACATGTTCATTTTACCAACACTTAATTTACCAACAATCAATTCACCAACACTCACCTCGAGTCAAACCTGAAATAGCATTTGTTAATGCTATCTTACATGCCAACTATTGAATATTTCTCATTACAACGGGTTACAATGAGTTGTTTGCTAGTTTTTTTTAAACTTCTAGCAAAGATATCTCGATAACAACTAAACAAAATTCAATAATTTATTTTTACTTTAATTCTGCAAAAGTACAGGATTAAAATGAAAAGATTTTATCAAATTTGATCAAGTAGTTATTGAGAAGCTTTCGCTAGAAGTTTAGAAAATTTTAAAAATTTTGGATGATCGCTAAATTTTGATTGATCATATGAAATTTTTTTGCTAGAACAGTTATTATAACAAGTGAAACCTGGTCAGATCTATCCTAATATCTGGGCTAACTAAATTTATAATTTGGTCAGATTGTCATTTGGGCTATATGACATACATATCATTAACCAAATTTTGCAAATATTATACTATTGAATGATTTAAAAAAATTTACAGTCATATTCAGGTTATATTCTACTGAGTTATATCCCAACCTGAGTTATATTCTCATATTTAAGCTGAATAAAGTTTTAATTTTTTTTGTTTTTGTATGTTTTGTATACTCTATAAAAAAAGTTAATCTGTGTATTATATTCTATGTTTTATCCCTAAATGTTGCATATTTATAGAATTTATACCTTTAAATGATGGAAATTTTGGTCTACTATATCAAGTCGCAGAATCCCAGAAATTTTACAGAAATTAAAAAGATAAAAAGAAATATTCAAATAAAAGTTGAGAGATAATAAGTAATAAATTACTTTAAGTACAAGCATATTCTGTATTTGTTTATATTTTTGTCACACTCTTTCTGATGATCCTCTGAACAACGCAACAAAAAACCGAACTACAGAAAAATGATATAGAAGGTTTCAAGATATCTACTATTACGGTCCTGTCTTTGAGTAAACAGTTGTCAACAAAGCCTGTAAACATGAAATACCAAGGAGTGGGCGTAATTTGGGCAGTTTTTCTTGGGGTCAAGCTTTTTTTAATTTTGTCAGACTCCTCAAGATATTTGGCATCCAAAC